TGTTAGTCTTTGTTAGTTCCTTGTTGTAGTTGGACGTTGTTCACGGGGTGAGAGTTCTGTTTTGTCCAAGTTTGTTTCATTTAAGCCTTGAAATAAAGGTGTTTTTTCTGAGAAATCTGTGTTTGGGTCCTGCCTGCTTCGCTCATCCCTGACAGAAGGAACTAACCAAATATGGGCCCAGCAGATCCTTTCGAGCAGGAATTATTGGATTTTTTTTGGAGCGTCCGGGGTTCAGCAGCGAGAAGCAGCTCTGGCAGAGGCGCGCCAGATGGCTACGGAGAAGCCAGATTTAGTGAAATTTTTACCTGGCTGGATTTTGGATTTCCTCTCGGTGTGTTATCCCCTGCCTGCTAGCCCCAGCCATGCTGGTTCCCTGCCTCCCAATTCCCATTATGACACCACACGCATCGGTGTGTTCCGTCTGGAGTCAACACTTGCTTCTGCCCCAGTTCCTGCTCCTGTCCAAGAGTCGTTCTCTGGAACTCGTCTGGCTTTTGGAGGTCCACGGAGCCTCCAAAAGGCTCATAAGAGAAGGAGTCGCAGGTCCAGGCCCTAGCCACAGAAGCCATGCTTTGGGCTCCAGTACAGGCCCCAGCAGCCATGGTTCCAGCCCCAGTTCTGGCCCCAGCAGCCATGGTTCCAGCCCCAGTTCTGGCCCCAGCAGTCATGGTTCCGGCCCCTGTTCTGGCCCCAGCAGCCATGGTTCCAGCCCCAGTTCTGGCCCCAGCAGCCATGGTTCCAGCCTCAGTCCTGGCCACAGCAGCCATGGTTTCGACTCCAGCCGACGCCAGCTCCCCGTGTCCTGTCGGCGTACCAGCCGACGCCAGCTCCCCGTGTCCTGTCAGCATTCCGGCCGACTCCAGCCCCCCGTGTTCTGTTGGCGAACCGACCGTCTCAAGTCTCCTCTCAAGTTCCTTCTCAAGTCCCCCCTCGAGTCTCCTCTCGAGTTCCCTCTCGAGTCCCCTCTCAAGCCTCCTTTCAAGTCACCTCTCGAGTTCCCTCTCAAGTCTCCTCTTGAGTGTCCTCTCGAGTTCCCTCTCGAGTCTCCTCTCGAGTGTCCTCTCGAGTTCCCTCTCGAGTCCCATCTCGAGTTCCATCTCTAGTCCCTTCTCAAGTCCCTCCTCTAGTCCCCTCTCTGGTCCCTTCCTGAGTCCCTCCTCAAGTCCTTTCTCTAGTCCCTACTCAAGTCCCTTCTCTAGTCCCTACTCAAGTCCCTCCTCTAGTCAATTCTCTAGTCCCATCTCTAGTCCCACCTCCAGTCCCCTCTCCAGTCCCCTCTCCAGTTCCCTCTCGAGTTCCCTCTCAACTCACCTCTCGAGTCCCTCCTCTAGTCCCTCCTCTAGTCCCCTCTCTAGTTCCCGCTTGGTTCCCCTCTCGAGTCTCCTCTCAAGTCCCCTCTCAAGTCCCCTTTCGAGTCACGTCTCAAGTCCCTACCCAATGTCCTGGTCCGTTGGAGGTTCTGCTGGGGGTCCTGCCAACTCCATGTCCTGTCCCGTTGGAGGCCCCGCCGACTACTCTTCTGCCGGGGGTCCTGCCAACCCTATGTCCTGTGCCGTTGGAGGTTCCGCTGGGGTTCCTGCCAGCTTCATGTCCTGTCCCGTTGGGGGTCCCGCCGACTACTCTCCTGCCGGGGGTCCTGCCAACCCTGTGTCCTGTCCCGTTGGGGGTCCCGCCAACGACTCTTCTGCCGGGGGTCCTGCCAATCCCATGTCTTGTTCTGTTGGAGGTCCCGCCGTCACCTGTCTCACCGGGGGTCCTGCCAACTCCTGGTCCTCTTCCGTGGAGGATCCTGCCGAAGCCTGTCCCACCGGCTCCGGTTCCTGTCCGGCCGACACCGGGTCCTGCCCGGCCTCCGGAGCTGTCTGGTCTTTGCCCTCGAGCACGGCCGCCTGAGAGCCGCGGTCTTCGCCCTCGGGCCCGGCCCCCTGACTCTTCATTGGATTCTGCCTTGCCCCCGGCCGTCCGCCCGAGTCCCCCACTTTGGACTCTGCCTTGCCCCCGGGCCGTCCGCCCGAGTCCCCCTTTTTGAACTCTGCCTTGCCCCCGGGCCGTCCGCCCGAGACCCCATCCTTGAACTCTGCCTTGCCCCCGGGCCGTCTGCCCGAGTCCCCCTTTTTGAACTCTGCCTTGCCCCCGGGCCGTCCGCCCGAGTCCCCGTTTTTTAACTCTGCCTTGCCCCCGGGCCGTCCGCCCGAGACCCCTTCTGGGTCCTCCGCTGTGCCCCTGGGCTGTCAGCCCAAACCCGTCCTCCAGACCCCCTCCACCCACCCTGTTGGCCCTAGTTTTGTGAAATCTGCGTTTGGGTCCTGCCTGCTTCGCTCATCCCTGACAGTATTTCTTTCTTAACACTGTTGCAGTTCTGTTTGAAAAGTCATTGTTTTCTTATCTAATAAAGCTAAGGCTGAAGTTTGGTAAGAATTAGATTGTATCAAAATAAAGGTTGTCATGAGTTACCTGTCACACCGCTGATTTGAATGTCAATAACTCAACTGCAAACACCTTTGTTTACTTTATAGTAATTGTACACATCATAGTTTATTTTCTACTCGTTGACTTTGCTGATCTTTTTGCACAATCATTAGAAAACAGATAAGTGTTTCTTAGAAAATACTGTAGTTGATTTACTTTTGATGGCAGTATATGACTTTGCAATAAGAGCACATTCAGTTAGGTTTGTCTAAAGATGTCATAATTTCTGTTTCTTTGATTTACCAGTGCTGAGGATGACTCCGCTGCTGGTTGCTGCTGGAGGGACATGTTATCAGGACGGAGCACATGATGCAGGCCCTCAAACAGAGCTGTTAAATACAGGAAGTAGCCAATCAGGATAAAGCAAGTCATGGGGGGATGTACACAACATCAATTTGGTGATGCTTTCCTTGGTTAGCTTCCAACATATTCATATTGGTTGAGAAATTAGCTTGCTGTGTTTTGTCTAAGTGGTTGTCTTTGTGTTACCCCTTTGTTTATATGCCATTTTAAATGTTCCCCTTTGTGATCAGTTTTTGTCATTGATAAGATAAGACATAGGCTACTTTGTGTTGATCCCAAATTGGAATATGTTTTCTGATAGGTCAGTTTTGTATTAATTTTGGGTAGCATTTAGAGATAATTTCTGTTTAATTTACCTGTTTATGGGCCCAGCACTTTGTAACATCATTTTGAAAATAGGATCCCTGAAAGTGTGCACCTTATTTGTTTGTGGTGCTTCATATAAGTAAAAAATGTTTAGAGCTGAATGTTAGCATGTTGCCCGCATAATTTTTGGGTAAAATAACCCCTCTTTTTGAAAATACACCTGCGAATCCTCATATCTGCCATCTCGGCCCTCCAGAGGGATTGGTGACCCTTACCCATGAGATGCATAACTCCAAATAACCCAACAAGATGGAGCAAATCGGTACAAAAACGTTCTGTATAGTCTTCTGTACTTTCTTAAATGGGGAATCTGCTGCCAGATAAAATCCAGTGTCAAGAAAAAGGAGATCGTTGACCCTGAGAATGAGGTGGGCCGCGTAAGAGCCAGTAAGAGCAATTAGACTTCAGTACTAGCATGATGGGGATACATCAGGCGATGCTGGATGAATATATCTCTCTCTTCTCCACAATAGAGCTCACTACCATTTATATGGCTTTCATTTCATCTGGGAGCTGATGCAACTTATTACACTCTATCCTACTGTGGTTGTTTGGTGATTTAAGAGCACTGTTATATCACACTGGGCTGACAGAGGATCAGGTTTGAAAGCTCTGGCTCTAACTCATCTCTACCAACTGAGAGACAGCAATCCTCCCCATGCTTTTAGATGGTGAACAAGATGCTCTGTCAATGGCAGTAGAGTATGAGTTTGATGAAGGTAGAGATGCATGGCGTCTCACTGTGTAAATTGACTCACTTTAGCTCCCCTGATGTTTAATTCCTCTGGCTGGAGCAACACACTATCAATGTTGTTTTCATGAACTAATGTGCAAATCAAGCTAATGAAGGTTCATGGTGGGAGTTATTCATCTTAGAGATGTATCAGCAATAGGCAATCTGGGGGAGTGGGGATGGCCTCTTGTTAGTATATTGATCAATGCTAACCGGAATACATGCCAACAATTAACCTGACAACACCTTATATCTGGCTGCAAAAAGCATTGACCAAGCATGATATCATTGAAACTTATACTCAATTCAACACAGCTGCATTTTAAAACACTCTCTCTTTGACATGTTCCACTCTTAGCAGTGTGCACTGTTGCACCTGTTACTAAAGCTGCAAAGTCAAGTAATCGAAGAGTTGATCAGCAAAACAAAATATTCACCACTTGATATTTGAGCCATCCTCAAAGTTATTCATGCTTAAATTGCATAGTTGTTATGTTCAGCCTCAAATGTGGAGATGTATTGCCTTCATTGATTGTAATCTTTGGGTTTTGAACTAACAAACCAAGACATGTAAAGACACCACTTTGGACTTTGAGATGGACAATTTTCTGAGTTTTCTGACATTTTATAGACAAAACAATAATCAACCAATGAAGAGAATAGTTGCAGATAAATCAATAATGTAAATAACCGTAAAGTACAGTCTACCGACACACCTTGGAGTACACACAATGCAACAGGCTAGATCAATAATGTTCCTTATTTAATCGACACCCACATGTTTAACTCATAAAATGATGCAAATACTTTAGCTGGAGACCATTTTGCTTTAAAACAGGGGACTTTGAGTGTTATTCCTGTAGCTTCAGCAGCTAATCTATCTATGGTATTTTGACATGACTGGATTAATGTATTGTTACATAAAACTCTAAAATGGGCCATACTACCAGGGGATTAAACACTCTCTCTGATTTTCTCTGAGTCAAGCAAACAACCTGTTCGTTGTGATCTGTGGCCCAGTAAGAAAACTAAACTGGGATCAGTTTCCGACTCTCACTCTCCGTGCAGAAAACCCCTCGATGTGATTGGCTGAGGAGCGCAGGAGCTCTGAGTAAAGCAAAGGATACCAGAGTGATCAGGCAGTGCATGGACGGATGCAAGCAGGGGGAGGACGGCGAGACACGTTGTTGTTGTTGTTGTTGTTGTTGATATTGTTGATATTATAAAGATTCTGCTTTAATTTCACCAAGTGGAGCAAGTTAAGTGTGATGTTTTGGCTGCATGTTGTAAAATCCCTCTCAACAACACCACCTCCGACACCATCCTCTCAGGAGTGATGGGCTCCAAATTGACCAGACAGAGAAGTCTCGATTTTGAAACAAAAGTGTCCAAGAGGAGACGCCAGAGGAATGACAGCCCGGGAGAGAACGAGAGGAGCGGGGACTTCTTGTTTACCTCCCTGATGCTGAAGTCCGACAAGCTGCCCGGGATGCTGCGGAGAACAAACCACTGCCCGTATGTGAGGAGGGTGGCGTGGATCCGGGAGATCCAGAGACTCCTCCGGGAGCAGAAGATGGAGCAAGCTGGCGAAGTGCTCAAACTGCTGAGGAAGGTAAAGGGATTACATTATTTTGGATTAATTTCGAAGGAAAACGTATTATTTAAGATGTTATTGAGGAGGTTATTTGAAGCTGCAAGTGTGTTTGATTAAGTGTGCGTGGTGAACACGTGGGCCAAAAGTTATATAGCCTATTAAAAACATTTCTGCACGTTTTTTTATATTTAAAAGTTTATTTGGTAATTGAATTCCAGATTGTTGAAAATGTAGGTGCAGTCATTCCAGTTGTGTCCTTATTTAATTTGATCTCACATTTATTGTCAATGATGTTAGGATGCATGCTATATGTATCGAGCAAAATCAGATTTAAGTGATGGCTCCCATTGGAGAAAGTCCCACTTTTTATAGCATGTGTATCTGCAGGTGTCAGTGCTAATGGTTTAAAAGTGTAAGGCATGTAATCATTTTTCTTTTTTCAAGTTCCTTTCAATGATTCCCAGTAAAGAAAAATGTCTGACCTGAACTCTGTCGCCTTCTTTTTATCAAAAAGAAAAAGGGATGAGAAAGAAGCAGTAGGCTATGATGTTTGGTTTAAATCAACCACCTGTTTTGTCCGAAAGGGAATGGATAGCCAGCGATAGTTCATGTTCTGAATATAAAATCAGCTCTAACACTGAGTGTATTATGTTTTTTAAAGACACCAAAACCAAAAAAGGCCTTGGTTTCTTAAATTTTTTGTGACAAACGTTGAGATCTTAATATTTTTTCTTACCAATGAAATACTTTCCTGCTGCCTTTTGTATGGTTAAGGCTACACAAGAAAAATATTGAGTCAATAACATATATATTTATCTTTTTCTGCCATTCTTCACAGTTTCCTATATGTGAAGGAAACATCAGAGGGAATTTAAATATATAAATCCACATAGGAATAAGCGCTTTATACAACTCACTTGATGCTGTATTGTGGTATTGTTGAAAATCTCTAATCTGTCCCCTATTGTATGGTATGATGGGAACGCATAATGAAAAAGCCCCCCACTATAGTTGATATATTTCATTTGAGTCCTATCTGTTACCTTTCCGAATGTTACACCTTCCCAGGTCTAATCCTCACTTTCTGAAGCTTTATCCAAACTAGAGAGGAGGAAAGAGAAATAGTTTTTGGAGCTCAGCTTGAGCTCTCCACTTCCCTCTGGTTGCTGTGCATTGATCAAAGACTAGTTTTGAAGTACAGGCAAAAGCGGTTCTCATCAAGCAGGCCCCCTGTCATGCAAATTCCCTGCCCATCTGTACGCTGCCGTAGAATAAATTACACAGAAGTGTGCAGATTAAAGCAGGAATCAATGCTGAGGAGTCTGAATTGAAGACAGATTTGCAGTATCTAATCTTCTCTGCAGATAATCCATAAACCGAGCATACAATAGGTGGGGTGAATTTCAATTTAATTGTAAATTATATTCATGTTTGTGTGAAGCAGGAGGGATATGACTCATGTATATTCATTGAAGACTTCCATGTGTCTGTCTCTGTTTGTTAAAGCAGTCCATCACATCTAATAGGAAACACGATTGTTGGTCGTGAGCTGGAGCAACTTTCTCAACTGCTCGGCATTTAAACTGCTCACGAAGCACGAATTCACTCTCCATCACTCACTGAGGTGAAGCCAGAGAGCTGCTGTATGTCTTTGGGGCTGGAGCCAAGTGTCTGACTAACAGTTCTTCAAGACGGGGGGGAAACTAGCAGGAGAGCTCCTGTTGTTGTTCTCCAGCTGCAAAGCAGCTTTTCCTCTCGGAGAAAGGGTGGATTTGGAGAGAATCACCTTGGGATGATGGATGCTGGAACATGTTTCTATTGCACAGAGGAAGCATAACAAAGAGTAGCCAATAACACTGCCCCCACGCTGTACCTCCATGGCAGATCTGCCTCCTGGGCCATTAAGTTAATTAGTTTGGGATCTTCTACATATTCATTAGTAAACAAAGAATCAGCAAATACTCTTATCAATTACGCTCTGCAACATGCACACTGAGTAACCAATGTGCAGCGATGGAGAAGACAATAATGAAGAGGTTTTCTTTGTCATATGTATATATATATATATATATATATATATACATTTAGTATATCTATATATACACATCTCTATATATATATATATTTACACCATATATAGACCATTCTGAAGTTATCTGTCACAATAATCACTTCATTTTATTCAACTTTAAATACACATATGCTGCTTGCCAGATTTTGGTGCCTCTTTGATTTGATTGAAATACTCTTCATCCAATAATACAGTTATGTAGAAATATTAACCATTTGTGAGGTTTGGGGTTAGGGTGAGGATTTAAAAACAAACAGATACAGGCTAGCTAATTCCAGTCTGTGTGCTAGGCTAACCTAACCTTCCTTCTGGCCTTAGCTTCATATCGCCATACAGACATGAGAGTGGTATCAATCTACTCATCAACTCACCAACTCTCGGCCAGAAAGTGAACTTATTTATCAATAATTCAAAAACGGGTCAATTGTTTTTCATAAAAAGTAGAACTATTCCTCAAGATGTGCTTCTGGTATACTTCTCAAAAACTGAGTTCATTTGGCAAAGGTCATGTGTTTGGCACCTGGCGCAGGCAGCCTGTATCTGTGGCCTAATTATCAAAACAGTCCAAAATAAAATAAGTAAGTAAACAAAACTGGACACCTGACAGCTGCTACATGTTCTTACAGTAAAGCAGAAAACGCTGGGAATGGATTTGGCACACTGCAATATATTTAATGAGATTCTGATTAACTGCATGTGTGGGATGTTGTTTTGCGGTTAGGAGCTTGACGTTATATTCACTTTTTGTGACGAGGCAGACGTCAGATTAGATACGCAGCTTTCCTGAGGACATTGATCTGAGGGCACACAGGCTTCCACATCAAAAACATTTCCTGCCTTTAAGATTAGGAATCAGTCAAATGAATCCACAGGATCAGATCTCTGTGTCTTTTGAAGACGAAACCCGCTCATTTCTCATGCTGCAGCTGCACTACACAGTTACAGCGCTTCATCATCATAAAACAATCTCCAAATTCCTCTGTGCCTCCGTTTATGGAGACGTGTTATCCTCCTGCGTCTGTGCTAAATGAGGTTTAGTGAAGGGAGCGCTGGTCTGGAGGATGTCCAGTGTCATGGAATCCCACAGAGCTCCGCTGTAATAAATCAACTCAAAAGCTGGAGGAGGAGAAAATGCTGATAGGAGTTTTCCTCTCTGCTTCCACTGCGCCCCGAAGTGTTAGAGCTGTCAGAGTGTATACAGCGCGTTTTACACAGATTCCACCTCAAGCTTTCTGCGAAGCTTTTCAATGCATATTGAGCTGACTGTATTTACCCTTCAGCTGCTCAGCTTCTAGTTTTACAGTAGGATGATGGTCCAGTGAAACATGTTTGTAAGCAGCAGTTATGTCACCGTTCAAACGGCATGTTTGAGTAGACAAAATCATCTTTTAACAGTTGTTATGGATTATAAGAGATACACAGCTTTATGCTTTAAGAGAGGAGAGTTCCTTTTACTTTCTTTCCCCTTTCTCACAACCTTTTCATCTCTGTTTTATTTATTTCATCTGCTCAGTTTCAAGTCTTCCTGGCTGTTTTATTGTTCTCCTGTGTGTTTGCATCACTGGCTGACACTTGCTGGTGAGGCGCAAATACTGGGTGTTAAAAACACGTCAGCACTCAAAGCATTACCTGAAGAAGCCTTGTATTTACATTGTCACTTCAATATAGAAATATCCTGATGATGAGGAACTATTGTCAACAACAGGGTTCCTGGTTTCTAGTTTCATTGAACTGTTCTCTCTGTCACACAATCTTTCACTGAGGAATGCTTAGGATTAAAGGTAGAAAGCAGAAATGCCTTTAACTGGAATCTAAAAGTATTTTCCCTATATGGTTTAGAGTTATGTTTGGTGCAAATGATAGAAATTCATGTGATGAAATCCTGTGGGTTTCATCCTACAAATGAAACCAGAAAATGAAAAAGGAAAGAGTCTTATTCTATTTACGAGTAACTGTAATATTTTCAGAAAGACCGCACCACTGCATATGTAAACTTTACTCCCAATGTCCCTCACACACACACACACACACACCACACACACACACACACACACACACACACACACACACACACACACATACACATACACATACACACACACACACACACACCTATACAGTTACAGTATGTATGGTATGCACACAGACACCTCTCCACCCCCTAATCAACTGAACTGGATGTAAACGCAGCAAAACCTTATCAGCTCTTACAAGATAAGAGCGAAATGAAAGGCGACAATAAAGAAAGCTCATAAACATTGATAATCTATTTTCATTAATCTATCCATTGAACGACACTTGAATATTAAATGAAGTGTGCTTTAGACATGGCTGTTTTCATTAATTACCAAATCAACAGTCTTTACTGTTAGTTTTAAAAGCAGTTAACCACATCTTTTTCTTTGTTCTTCCTCTCAGGATTTGGGACTCCAGGGATCGTCACTCAATGACATTTTGTACAAGAACGCAGCTTTTCTCAACCTGGTGGACCCCATTTCTCACGAGCTGCTGCTCAGTCTCGCCCGCGACCTGCAGTGCCCGAAAAGGGTGAGAATCCAGAACGATCCTGTTTGTTTAAACTGTTCATGAATACTGAAAAACAATCTCTACAGTCTTCACATTAATTAGCGTGGCCACGGCTACCATTGTAAACAAAGGCGAGGCAAGAAGCAGCATGTCCGCATTTATTAGCCATGCCTAAGTGCATGTGTCATGTTGTTCCTGTCATGCTGTTGTGACAGCAAGGAACTGCCAGTTGTCTTCGTACAAAAACTGCAGAGGCTACGATCAAGGGAAATTAAAGTTTACTGTATGTGTTAAGCCATGAGCATAATACAGTAGATCACGAAGCACGTCTTCAGGTTTCTAAAATGAGTTTAATATTAGATGATGTATTTTTTTCTGGGCATCCTGCATAATATTCACAGATTCCACACGAGGGGCTGGCTCATGTTTTACAAGAGAAATGTGAGAGGCTAATATATTTTTATTTATACAGCCCTAATTCAGACATTTGCTCATAGAGCTTTAAAAAACGACTTGAGTAAGATACTGTAAATATGAAGAAAAACAAGATATTACAACTGATTTATAACACTGTCATCACAAGAATGTTTTTATGGGCATGTTTTTAGCCAAGCCATGTTGAATTTTTGAGCCTGCATGTGGAAAAGCTGCATTTAGAGGACAAATTGAGGTTGAAATGAGAGTTACCACACAGCTACAGAGAGACACCTGCATGCTGAAGGGTGGGCGGAGGGTTAAGGATTAATGTGTGGTCCAAGATGAGGCAGTGGGTCAGCGTTTGGCTCTGCAGTGGCACCGTCTTCCCTGCTGCTCAGGTGCTCTTTCAGCACATTGGCCAACGATAGCAGCTGTGCTCCAGGACCTGCAGGTGTGTGAGAGTACCTGCTTAGGCTGCTTCATACTGGGCAGCGTGGGCAGGAACCCAGCGGTCATCAGGCCGAGGTCAACGGGGCAGGGGGCCACGGTCAATAGCAGAGAGGATTGTGGGGCTTTGGCACTCACAATGAGAGCACTTTGAGGATCTGACAGGTGGCAGGTGGGATCAAAGTGGAGTCCACTGTGAAGTCTTTTGTGTCCCATTCTACAGGCACCTCTCAGTAAGGGATCGTACCAAAATGATATGAAGATATTGAAAAGCTAAATGTACCTAGATGATTATTTTCCCTTCCTACATTTTTATCTTCAGCCTCCCTTTGCAATAAATTGTGATACAATAGTCAGAAACACAGCTTCCATTTGCCATGGGTCATAATGATGCAACTTACAGGAGAAAAATATGTTGTGACTTAAAAATATAATAGAAAAGGCAAATAAATAGAAGTTTTAAGGTCTAAATTAAGGCACACTAGCTATATCGACCTCTTTGCTATCACTCTCAAATTGTATTACAGATATTACTGATATCAAAAAACATGTAGGCCTATGATGTATATACAGTTGTCTTATATTAGTTTTTACCTGTCAATACATTAGACAAACTCTTTCATTATTCATGTGCATTAAGTTCCGATTTATGTGTTCAATAAAATACATGATTTATCAAGCCTGGGAGTCAGCTCTTCCACTTCACCACGACATACAAATCCAAGATGATACAATTCAAATGACATTTCAGTCTGGTTGAAGCGGCTGAATACAGTAGCAGCGGACTGGCTATAAAACTCACAGCAGCCATTACAATTATCTAAAGGCTTTATCTCTTTTAGGAAAAGATGGGTTGCTTTAAGATAAAGTCACCGTGGTCTAGTCTTTACTTACCGAGTCAAGATGATAATCACCTGTGGGAAACGTTAATCTTATCGTTGTTTGATTTGGCGGAGGGAAGCCCAGAAAGACGGGGGTGGGGGGAGGGTGAGAAGCTGGCAGCGATCTCCCGACTGTCTGGCGACCCGTGGCAGGAAACTCTGTCAGACGTGAGGGGGATGTAGAGAGGCAGTGTGCTGGATTTAAGGCCCGGCAGCTGCCTCTTTGCCCAGTGTTTTCCACCACTCTGAGATGTATTCACATTATATATTCAAGGGCATATTGAGGCTAAAAGATAAATCATTTGTGAAGCTCATGGTCATCAGTTTCACAATTTAATTTATGTTTTTGATGCACTCAGCTTTACAGGGGACCCTGATGTAAACAAGACGAAAGTCTTTCTCTGGTCTGCATCCCCTTAACAATTGTGTGTATTGAGCTGTACTGTATTGTACCCATTCTGAAATCTGTTAATACAATTTATTTTCAATCAATCAATCAATCAAACAGGCGCGTGATTAACATCCAGGAATGCTTTGGTGATCCTTCCAGTCAACAGACTAACATTTTCTAAGAATACTTCCACACTGCGAATCAGTATGCGCAGCTTTAACGTCGAGTTCAGTCATCCGAGTGGCTGAAACAGCAGCACTGCATGTTTTGAAGTATGAGACATGGTTGTTTGTCGCCAGAGAAAATAAGTGGCAGCGGGAATAGTTAATCGCCTTAAGGTAAATTGCCCCCGTCTTTTTTTCCCTCTCGCCACATTGCCTCTTTCTTGTTGTGGTGTTGTACCATTAATTAGATTTACCCTGCTCAGCTAAACCCATTGCATTTAAAGTCTTTGACGGAGGTGGGAGAGAGAAACGAGAAGGCAGAGAGGAGGGGAGGCATGAAGCAAGAGGGAGGCAAAAGGGGAAAATAAATGAATGTTTCTGTGTGGGAAAATCTTTGAAGCCACTGTTTTCAAAGGACAAGAAAGAAACACTTTGTGACTGTGGGAGAATCAGTCCATCTGTAGTTAGCAGGAAGAAAGAAACAGAGAAGACATCAAACATGTATAAATGTCTTTAACAGCTTGTGCATATTTGTTTGTTTGCCTAAAATTTGTGATTTTTATATGAACAACCACTGTTTTGATTTGCAGTATGAACTCAATTCTTGTCCATCATTCGTCCTCTGTGTGTGTTAAAGGAGACTGACTCGTTCAAGTCCACCACCAAGATCTGCCGGCAGCTGATTTACCATCTGACCCCTCACTCCAAGTGGACGAGACAGAGCGTGCCCAGGAGGAAGTCTCAGGCCTGGTGAGTGTGTCCTCCTCGCTGCCGGCAGACGCTGCCCGTCACTCTGAGGAAGGACAGTCCCTGCTGCAGTGAACACATACTAAGCATCAGTAAAACTCATAAATCACCACAGAGCCTCTCGGAAAGATTAAAGGAAGGCAATACATCGACAGTTATTGGGAGGATTTTTGCTTCAATGTGCCCAGGTTATATTTGTAATAGTGCGTTCAATAGGGTTTATGGTTGTCTTGTGATGTTAAAATGATTACTTCCTGGGATTATATTATCCTTTTTTCAGGAATTTATCCTAACATTTAGTTTATTCTGGATGTATTATGTGGTAGTCAACAGAGATGGCAAAAGTACACACATCCTTTACTCAAGTAGAAGTACAGATACTCGTGTTTAAAGATACTCTGGTAAAAGTAGAAGTAATGACTAAACTTCTTTACTCAAGTAAAAGTAAAGAAGTATGGGCTTGGAAATGTACTTAAGTAATAAGTACCCATAGCTACCAGCTGTTTTAAAGAGTACCTGACCTCACTTTATATTAATAGAACAATAATGTTATTGTTAGCTAATGAATGTTTCGAAGCTGAACAACGGCAAAATGACAAAGTTCTCATTGGTCGCTTATCCCATATAATAATAATAATAATATTTGTTTATTCTCTTACAGATATTCGTTGTGTGCATGCATGGTGTTTGTCGTAGTGAGGTAGCACCCTACAGCGGGTCCCATGACCTTTAAAGAGTAGTACAAACAAAGCCATAAAACACATTCCTCTTCCAGGTGCATCTCATACAAGCAGCTGATCTCTTTATCTATGTGCCATAAAACAATTATGTGACCTGAGTCATTTCACAGATCCTCCCTATACTCGGGTGTAATCTTCATTACATCTAAAAGCCTACACCATGTGATGAAGTTGAACATTCTCACAATAATCTATCTACCGAATAGAGTCACTTATGGAAGAGTTTGCATAGTTTTGATTTGCTTTCTGTTAATTCAATCTGAAATACATTTTTCCACACATCTGAATTGTAACAGCCATTGTGAGTTGCTTGAAAAGCAATTAAATCCAGTTAATGTTAACTTAAGGTCAGACTAGATCTATGATGGTGGCATTTCTGCATGAATGAGTTCTGGAGAGTGCCTCATTGTTTCAGTACAGTACTCTTCAGTATCACCATACATGATAATATTTCCAATTTCTTCCAGGTGTTAATTACCTTGAAAATCCTGATCAAAATGTCCCGGAAATAACAGCATGTGAATAGAATTATTCATCTGAACCAAATGACGCCACATCATACACTAATTGATTAAACTGTGAACTTAAATTGTGCTGCATTGTGTAGTAGATCCAATGCAATCAATACGTTTTTAATTTATGCTTTTCCTTAAAGTAAATGTAAAGTACATTTTTCTATGAATATTTGACATCAATACATACCTTTATTTACGATACTACCTTTACATTTTCACACCTTCTTCTCTGCAGTAACCACACTTCCTCCCTGCTACTATTGTGACAAAAACAGCCTGACACCATCTTCCAACACTCCGTTATGAGTGTGAGAGATTTGATTGTTTCTATACATCTACAAATCATCTCCAAGAACGATCATGGAGCAAACAGGAAATTAAGACTGAACTGAATTTGAAGCAATTGACACCAAACTGTGGGTCTGGTACTGATTGTTCATGTTTGAGTGAAATAAAGAGCAGCAGAAAGGACACTGATTACAGCGACTGTACAACAAATGAAATGCTCCCCAACTCAAACTAAGTTACAGGTACATTTTAGGAGACGTTATGAAAGAAACAACTTCTCTACTGTTGATCACGAGGCTCCCTCTCCCTGAGCAATTAACCCAGATCGAAAGATTTTTTGACAGCTCGAGTTAACTTCCCGCCCCTGTCTCTTGGTTGCTGTATTTTGAAATAACACTCAACAGAACAACAAGGCAGACTCTCCCAGAGTGCTCATTAGCAAACCCTGTCTCTTTCTCTGCCTCCACTGCAAGCAGCGGCGCTTACTGTGGGACTCAAACCAGACTGTGAATATGACGCGCTCTGAAACGAAGCTTTAGGACACACGGTTTCAGAGGCTTTTCTGTTATGGATCTTTTCATTATAAACCCTTTGTCTATTTCCTCTCAGTCTGTCTCAACCTTCTGCTCTCTCTCCTTCCCTTCCTTCCCCCCGGCCTCTCAATGTCTTCTATTTTAAAATCCCTTCCCTTGCATTGATTTTCTTCCTCTCCTCTCCTCCTGTGGGATTTTCTCTCCTTCTTGTGAGAGTCCATTTTGTTCAACAGTTGCCACACAGAGCGGTTCTGCAGTTTGAGCTGAGGCTCTGGGGAAATGCTCTGTCAGACAGAGAGAAAAAGGGGGAGGCGGATTCACTGCAAGGTTGCCGATTAGAAGTCGCCTGTTTACCGCTTTCTTCCTGCCTCGCTTCGCATCGATTGTGAATTTGATCTCTTCATATTAGGGAATGCAAAAGCATCAGCTATCCTTTAACAGTTTATTGCATTTATTGCATTCTTACAGTCTTATTTTCTTCAAGTGATTTTGAAGTCTATTTTTGATCCATTTAGAAATGTGCTGCAGCCTGCTCTCCAACTGGGGCTCAAATTGAATAGATTTCATGGAAAATATGCAATTGGTTGCAAATCTTCAAGAGATAACGCATCAATCTTGATTCCAGTGTTATTACTTCAGCTTGCTATGCTTTCATAATACTGTAACTGCAAAGCAAGTCACACTTTATGTATTATCAAGGCATCATTTTCTCTCTGCAGCTGCATGTGCTACAGTAGGTTTCAGAGAAGCACTGTATATGTGCGTCCCCAGAGGAGTTCTTAATGTTATTGGTATTGGTATTGAATCTCAGATTAATCAAGCTCGTATTTTTTATGACGGTAAAATTGCCCTTCCAGCACATTTGGATGAGATTGGATTGAGATTGCAGATGCTGTTTCATTGCAAGGCTGTAATTGACACGAGGCTCTTACAGCAGCTATTACAGACATCTTTAGTACATTAAAAGAAAAGAGTGTGGTTCAAGAAGACAACTGAATAATGGTATGAAAAATTCAGCTTTGTACACAAGTATTGGAGTAAATCTAAGTGCATCTGTTTAGTTTTTTTTGAATATGTTGTATCATCATATGTTAATATCATGAACATACTGTATGAGGATAAGAGTAAAACAAGACAGATGTTTGGGAAGGTGTTATCAGTGTGGGTGCGTGTTTTTATTGTGTTTTCCCTTTCGTGTAGTGAGTGATATACGTTTGTGTGCATGTAAATGGTCTGCAAAGGCTAAATTCCCTGTGTTCCCTCCAGAGGGAGTTTCTCTCCCACACCCTGCCTGAAACGCCTCCATTGGACTCCTTTGTTTACTTCCAGGACATAGTGACATCACTATGCAACAGTTGTTCTATTGGATAGCGCTCGATACATTGAACGTGATGACATCTCTAGGCGGTTGAACATCACAACAGAGCCGGCCAGCTAACAAATCAGAGCAGACTGGGCTCTGGTTTCAGACAGAGGGTAAAAAGAGGAGCTGCAGCACAGGCAGTATGAGAAAAATAAAGAGCTTTTTGAACATTAAAGCATGGAGACATGTCACAATAGATCACAAAATACAAATATGAACCTGAAAGTGAGCATAATAGGGCCCCTTTAAGACGGCAATTGGTAAAATGCTGATGTGACAACAGACAATGTTGCCCCCCTACTGTGTTGCATTTGCAGATCAAACTTGCAGCTTTGCACTCAATAACATAGATAAACCTCAACTTTAGGGGCGTTGGAGACAAAGACTAGATGTTCTGTTCTTCTCATTGGTCTGACTATCCAACCCAGTCTCACAAAAAAAAACGTGTAATAATAACTACGTTGGTCCACAACGTAGGACACAAAAACGCCTCTGAAATTGTAGGATCCATACGTTTTTTTTCAACATTCATTTCCAATGGCTGGCATCTATGTCACGTGATCTTCAAATTTCTCATGGCCGAACTTCGTTTTATTCTCGGTGGAAAATGCCTATTTTAAAGTTAGTTTGGCCATTAAAATGTGTTTTGATATCATTTGATGCGAGAAATATGAGTTGTTATTTCAGATGTGTGCAGTGGATGTACATGATCTTTAGTTTGCTAGTTATTACGAAGATTACTTCAGGAAATGGTGTCCATACAACGTTTTCATTGTTACCAAGGTGGTTGCTAGGGACGCTGCTATCGATATTATTTCTGTTATGTTGTGTAACTGTTTAATGGTGTTATCTTTATTGCTACCCCCTTCCCCGTCAATTTATAGTGTTGGTCCACAGCGCAAACGTATTAGTTTAACAAAATCCGCATCTAAAATTGTGGCATAGATACGTTATTTTCCCCTGTGCAATTCCAGTCTCACATCGTCATAAACAAATACCAGAAACAGACCGAAAACATTTTTTGCAGATGCAGATTTTGTTAAACTAATATGTTTGCGCTGTGGAGCAACACTATAAATTGACGGGGAAGGGGGTAGCAATAAAGATAACACCATTAAACAGTTACACAACATAACAGAAATAATATCGATAGCAGCGTCCCTAGCAACCACCTTGGTAACAATGAAAACGTTGTATAGACACAATTTCCTGAAGTAATCTTCGTAATAACTGTAATGTACATCCACTGCACACATAATCTGAAATAACAACTCATATTTCTCGCATCAAATGACATCAAAACACAATGTAATGGCCAAACTAACCTTAAAATAGGCATTTTCGAGAATAAAACAAAGTTCGGCCATGTTTTTTTTTTCTGCAGGGAGAAATTTGAAGATCACGTGACATCGACGCCAGCCATTGGAATGAATGGTGAAAAAAAAAAACGTAGGGATCTTACAATATCAGAGGCGTTTTTGTAGAAATACTACGTCCTACGTTGTGGACCAACGTAGTTATTGTTAAGATGATGTTTTAAACAGGACCCAGGCGCAGGCAATGA